TTACATAGAAAATAGTACATTTTGCATCATGGACGGAAATAGTACCTTTTGGAAAAATTGATGGAATTAGTACGTTTTGACCACATTTTTTTACTTTTTACTACGGAATCTATAGAAAATAGTACGTTTAGATTCAAACAGTAAATAGTTCATTTTGACAAAATTAATATTGTGCAAATAGTACGTTTTGCTTCAATTGACTATTTTAAAATCGGTTATTGAATGATAAATAGTACGTTTTTACCTAATCTGATGATGCCAATCGATCCGACACCATTTTAAACATATATTTCAATGCATAACTCAATTTTGACAAAAATGCAAATAGTACGTTTTGTATTGTCGCCCCACAATTGTTCAAATTTTTGACGAGCTAAAGTCTCCATTTCTCTACCATACTGTACCGATTTTGTTTGTAGACTGTCAGAAGCATATAAAATATTATGAACTACATTTTTGCAGCTAGTGTTTGACCGCATTTTACAAATTTGACCAAATCTTGAAGCTGTTAGTCGTATTTTACGTTCGTTGTACCACATTACACTGTTGCTTTGTTCTCGAGTTTCGAATTTGATTTTTTTTACATCAGCTCGACCTAATTCTTCTAAAAATGTAATTTTTTTGTTTTCCATTTCTTCTGATGAAAAAAATTCTATTAGAGGTTCAGCCAGTCCATAATCTTCGTCTTCTCCATCCGTTTTAGATTTTTTAGCTTTTCTTTTTTCCGGAAATAATTGCCTTCTTTTACTGGTATTAAGCCGTATTCTTTCACTGTTCTTCAAAAACTTTTTTCCAAATATTCCTGTAATAAAACAATTGTGTAGCTAACCTATATTAAAGTTACTATTTTATTAAACGTAAATATGCATTTTACCTGGACTACATTTAGTTAATGTTTTATGAATTTGTCTTAAATATTGTTTGGAATTAAATGACACAATCGCAGCTTCTACTCTCGTATTATAATTACCTCTACTACCTACTAAAATTTAATCGTTTTCCGGCAATGTTATGTTTCTGGCATTATTAATAACATAATTAAACTGTTCACAGATATTAGAAGTCTTATTTTCTAATAAACTTTCCGCATTAGTTACACGCCTTGAAGCAATGTTCACTATTTCCCTCATCATTCCACTAGTTTCAGCTTCTGGGACTAAATTTAATTGAATTTGTTTTGATCGATCACAAAAATATGACCTACAATTTGAATGATAACCAAGTCTGTGATATGGTGCATTGATTAAATCACTTCTGAGACCTAAAATTATATATATTTTAGCCTTTTTATGCAATAAAGAAATGTTGGTAAATTGGCCAACAATAGTACAAAATATTATACACTATATGATATAACAACATAGGTACACATTTTAAAATAAATTATTATCCTACTCCAACCAAATTCCAAAATTATAAATAGGTACCTTTAATTTTTTGTGTTTTGGTAGTATTGATTTCTTTTCTCCAATGTAATGCTGCCATCTAAACATCACATCTAAATCTTTTAATGTTTGATAATATAAATTTGCGAACACGAAGAGGGTAACTCGAATTTCTAGGTAGTGTTGTTAGTTGCGAAGCAAAATTTCTCATAAGATGGTTTTTACACTCAATTTTTCTTATTGTAAAGTTAAAGCCATATGGTCGACTTTCGGCTAACCGCTTAGTAACGCTTCCATCTCCATCACCTTAATATCAAAACATTATTTATTATTGTAATTATTATCATTATTATCTATATATATAAAAATGGAGACAAAAAATTCGAAATTGCATCAGTTGAGAACGGCTGGGCCGATTTTGCTCAATTTTTTTTTAAATGATAGAGAATGTCGGGGAGCGGGTTTATAGCATAATTTATGGACCTAACTCATGTGAGTTAGGGATTTAGAGACAAAAACTGAGTTTCACCGGTGGCGCCCTCTAGCAGATAAAAATATAAATATAAATATAATATAAAACGGAAAAGTTAATATTAATTTTAAATAAAATAACTCAAAGCTTGAGTCACATATAGTTTGTACACTTAATGGGCAACGAAGTGCACGGGTAATAAGTACGTACCGCGCCTGATAGTGCATCGTACTTGGTTTTATAGCTTCGCTTGGACCATTGTCCGCGACCACTGTAATAATTGGTATCCCATCCACATCCAAGCTACCAGATTCTATTGCCAATCTCCTTTCTTCTTCACCGGCTTTCTTCATTTCGTCCCAAGCTGTAGCGTGAACTATTTCAGCTACCTCGGTTTGAACACGCAAAAAACCAGTACTCGACAATGCAGGCAAATCAAGAAATCCTGATAGTTCTGCTATCTGTGTATGTCCAATACCTATAGCTTGGCAAGCATTTACCGCAGCATTATTAATATTCATTTCTGAATTATGAATATATTCCGAATTTAGTCTAGTTTGAATATTACAAACCATTTTCATACAATAAAGAAACAACGATTTTTTTTTTTAAGCGAATAAAACACACGCACGCTAACTTTGAATACTTCTAAACTAAACGAGTAAAATCAATATATTTAGATATATTGTATATAGAACACAATAGTAGTCGAATAAAAACTGAACTAGAATTTGTAATTTGTTTGATAAAATGCGTTAGGTACTCATAATAATATATTATGTTGATGTTTTTAATTCCTTAATTGTACGATAATTATATATTATAATTATTTACGATATCTTTACGATAAAGATGAAATACCATGATATAATCATTTTTAAATTATAAGTTTAAATGTCCAAATGTAAGTAATTATATTAATTGATATTATATTATTAGATAAAAGTATCTGACAGCTAGAATTGCATTTGTCATTAATATTATATTGACATTTGGTCATTATCAAACGCATTAAAAAGTTAATAATTTAAAAAAATAAAAATTTATCAAAATAATATACTCATTATAATAAAATATAATTAGTCTCTATATAATATCAATTGCATGTAACAAACAATATTCAATATCCCGCGCGTTATCGAATACATTTTACTGACCAGTACTTCAGAGTACACCAGCGGTTCCCAATTTTTTTTTGCCACGGAACCCTAATCGATTATAAATTTTTTTGCGGAACCCTAGTTTGATAACATAAAATTATCACCTAGTAGTTTTATATTTTTATGTTTGATATGAAAAGAAAGAACAAATATAAATGAAAAACAGTTATTTTATGTATTATAAAACATTTACTGTACAAAGAAATACAATGTAACTAAGTGCCTGTTTTTATCAATTTAATATTTTAATGAGAAGAATGAAATTTTTTCACATATTTTCTTAAAATATCACTAAAATTAGGCTTTATATCTGATAATTGAATGCGAAGATCTGGAGCTGCATCAAGTCTATTTCTGTACTTGTTTTTGGTGTAAGTGTAAGCTGAAAAACCAGTCTCGCATCGGTAAGTCGTCACAAACGGAAGCAGAATTGTAATAGCTTTCTCAACAATTGTAGGATATTCATCTTGAAGTCCAATCCAAAAATTATTTAGATCAAAATTTTCAGCTCCAAATTTTTGTTTAAGAGAAGATGAACATTTAATATCAATTAAATTCTCATACTCTGACACAGTAAGCATTGATGGTTTGGTATGATTTGCGAATGGATTCTGCAACCAGTTCATGTCCTGTAACTTCTCCGGAAAATACTATTTCAATGATTTTTTTAGGCTTATTAAATGCTCATGTATATTTTTTTCCACATCTGAAGTTACTTGCAACTCATTTTCTTTCAGATAGTCATTTAAAATAGTAAAACATTCGTAATTATGTTGATCAACACATTTAATCCAGAAGTCAATTTTGTTTTCAAGTAAAGAAATTTTGTCATTTACTGTAAATATATTCGTGGTTTTTCCCTGTAAGGCTTTGCAGATTACGTTAAGTTAATTGAATATATCGGCCAAGTAAGCCAATTTTATTAACCATACCTCATCATGCAATAAATCAACAAACGCGTTAGTAGATGCAGAACCGGGTTGTTTGGTGAAGAATATCTTAAGCTCGTTGCGCAATTCAAATAGCCTTAATAAAACTCTTCCTCTTGAGAGCCATCTCACTTGTGTGTGAATAAAAAGTGATTGATGCTGACTTCCTATATCTTCGCACACTTTTTTAAAAAGCCTTGACTGGAGTGGACGTGATTTGACGTAATTCACAATTTGTACAGCTTGATCGAGAACTGTCTTAAGCTCGTATGATATTTTCATCGCGACAAGAGCATGACGATGTAAAACGCAGTGACTGCTACTACATTTAGGTGCAACACTCTTGATTCTTGTTACAGTGCCTTTTATTTTGCCGATCATAGCTGCTGCTCCGTCACTGCACACGTCAATGCATTTGTTCCACTCAATATGGTGCTTACTCATGTGACTATCAATAACTTTAAAAATTTCTTCTCCAGTTGTGTTAGTTTCTAAAGGGGCACAGAGAAACAAATCCTCTTCAATAGATCCTTTGAAGGGGTATCTCACAAAAACAAGCAATATTGATAGCCCGGCGACATCTTACTTTCGTCTAATTGTATTGCAAACATCTTGCTGTTCTTCAATCTACAAATTAATTCATCTTGAATGTGGTCTGAAATCTTATGAATTCGATCAGATATGACGTTAATAGAACACTGAACTGCTGTAATTTTCTTCGCTGCATCTTCACCGAGTACGCAGCTGACGATTTCTGTCATACATGGTTTTATTAAATCCTCTGCAATTGTGTGTGGCTTACCAGCACGAGCGATTCTGTAACTTAGCATGAATGATGCTTCTGTTGCGTTTTCATTATCTGTTTTTGCATATTTGTGTGAAGCAGCCACGCCAGTTTTTTGTACTTCTTTGTGTCTTTCAAAAAAGCTTAAGCTTTTATCTTTCAGCTACGGGTGGTTGGTGTCAAGGTGTCGTCTTAGCTTTGCCGGTACCAATGAACTATTACACATTATTTTGTTGCAAATAACGCATTGTCCATCCGGATTCTCAGCCATTCCGACAGGAATAAACCCAAAGGACAAATACGATTCGTCATATTTTCTTTTTTTAGAAGTAGTTCTCTCCTGAGGTAAAACAATTTCACTAACAAGTTTATTTTGTCGTTCCTGTCCAGTATTTACCAAATCCTGAAATTAATTGACAATACTTATTGTTATATTTATAATTATTTAAATTTAAATAAAGAACAAAATAAATTAAAAAAATTGGCCATATGTGCCCCTGCGCCCTCAGGCATTTCAATTTTATAAAGAAAATATATTATAATTTTGTACAAAATCAACAAATATAGTAACAAATATAGTAATAAAAATGTAATAATCAAATAATAGGTTTATAAATAAGGCTTTTATGACGCCAGGTATATAATATTCTTATTTCTTACTGACAAACTAAAAACATCTATTTCCGAAATATTTTCATTATTTTCTGCTGGTGAACATGCTAAAACATTTTTTCCACTTGCGAGGTGCCCCGTTTTGAGCCAACTATCCATTATTATAAACTGAAATAAAATAATAACATGTTAATAAATCGCTCTTATTTAATTATGCACAGTGTGCATACAAATCTCTATGAATAAACAAATACATCATTACCTGTGAAATAAAAAATACCAGATATAAACAATCGCGACATAAACGAAACTCACTGCAATCCACTTCTTTTTTGTACTAGTATAATTACGTTAACTTCTGCAGTCTTATCGCGGTCTTTACTCGAATGGAGCTGGCAGCGGCTACGCGCGCTGCCCCACTCCCGCGATGTTTTATCAGTTCGGTAAATCCATGCCTATTTTTATCGTGGGCCACCGCACGTGCGATTAGAAATACTAGTAGAAGCATGAAATGAAACACATAACGAATGTGTGAACAACGGCGGCGCGGTTGTGATTCTTTTTTATGAAAGTTTTGTTTAATTTTTGGACGGTACGCGGAACCCTTGAGGCCCTTCCACGGAACCCCGGGGTTCCGCGGACCACCTTTCGGGAATCCCTGGAGTACACCATCGAATGCAAGCCTTCGAGATAGGAAACGATTTTGTTGTCCGTTATATACAGTGTTTCGACAATCATTTATTTTCCGTGTTTATTTGAATAGTTTTTTGAATTTGTTCTTATAAATATATAAGTCAAAAGATCGACGGACTTTGGTATTCGACGTTTGACATTCGTCAAGCGAAATTCAAACATTGAAACAGGTAAGAAAATTGATATTTAATACCTACTTATATACCAACTCGTTTCATTGTATAATACACTAGAAAATAAAAAAAATATAAATGACAATTTGTAAATAACCAATTAGTCTTTTTACTCACTTTTCATCTGAATAATTTAAATTAAAATTAATTATTTCCAGCAATTCCAAATCCAAACTATCTGCAGATGTTATTTTACAAGTTCGTCTCAATTGATGAATGGGGGGGGGTTGGGGTTCAAAGAAATCATTAAATTCTATTTCTAAAAACTGTGCAGAGTCACCGATTATTATTTGTGTTTCAAATTTTTTTTTGTTAATGATAAATTTTGAATAGTTTTGAATTGCATTACCAGTGCATATTTTTATTGTTTTTTTAATTTTTTCGATAATTTTTTTTTTGCCTAATTTTGAACTGCAATTTTTTGATATGAATTTCTTAAATAAATTTTGAATGGCCGTGGGTTCCCCTCTGATTATTGTGTCCTCCTTTCCCTCTACCACTATGAATTGGATTAAATTATGTATATCTGTGAATCTTGTAAGTATCTGTAAATATTATTATTATTGTATTATTATTATTATTATTTTTTGTTATGATTGTTATGTACTTGTGTGTAATTGTTAATATGATATTGTATTCTGTCAATGTTGGTCGACATTATGTTGTTCAAATGTTGTTTACTCTGAATACGGCAATCATAACTTCTTAAAAAATGTAATAATGTTTCAGTGTCGATGTTCGTGAATTGCGGAATCGCCGACGCAATTTTCAAAACTATGTCCTGATATATATATATACCATCACCAGCATCACTATCATCATCTCCAGCATAACTAGTACTGTCAATCGGATACTCTAAAATGTAGAAACAAACCGGTATTAATTATTTAGTTATTAAAATTATAGGAGTAATTAATATATAGTATATACCTTCCTCTCTAAGTATTATATTAAGTATTATATCATCTTATACTGATCGACTTACCATAATCATCTGGTTCAGCTGGGACAACCACCCTACTAAGTCCTGCCACATCTTCTTTTTCATCATGACTACTACTATCATCATCATCATCACTATGATCATAAACTAGAAATTTAAAATAAATTAATATCAATTCAAAAGAATTTTTTAGGTGTTAATATTTTCACACTTACAGTGTATTACCACAATTCAATTATTTGGAATGCGTCCCAGGTGGTTGAAGTGCTGTTGGAAAATGATTTGGTGAGCGGGTTTAAGTCTGGTGACAAATTAATGGTGGTTGGGTGTTCCCGGTGTTTTTTGCCGACAAAAGGCAGCATTTTTTTCAATACAATGGCAATCGCCAACAATGTCATTCTACAAAATGCAAATTTTTCTGTACAACGGTCTGACATCACCATGTGTAGGAAGCTGGTCGAAAAAGAGAAAGATTATGTGTTTGAGTTACTGGCAAATTCAATAGCGCCCTCCCGCCATGTCGACATTCACATTAAAAATGCAATATTATGTTTATTGTTGGGTGGAGTTGAAATTACGTTACCCAACAACTCCCATATACGTGGAGATATCCATATACTATTAATTTTGGATCCGAGTTTTGCAAAATCACAACTATTGAGAAGCGTATTGCGTGTTGCTCCCTTTGCAGTATGCACTACAGGGAGAGGATCTACGGGAGTTGGTTTAACTGCAGCCGTCACTACCAACAGATCAACTGGTGGTCGTCATTTAGAAGCTGGGGCTATGGTACTTGCTGACAGAGGTGTGGTGTGTATTGATGAATTTGATAAAATGTCAGATATTGACAGAGTAACTATACATGAAGCTATGGAGCAAGGGCAAGTGTCTATTTCAAAAGCTGGTATACATGCAAAACTCAATGCCAGATGCTCTGTTTTAGCCGCTGCTAACCCACTAGGTGGTTATTATGATCAACTTAAAACTCCAAGGGATAACATAGGTATGCAAGATTCCTCACTATCTCGGTTTGATTTAATGATGATCATGTTGGATGTACCTGATCGTGAAAAAGATATTTCGTTAAGTAACCATGTCGTGCGTATACATTTTTTTATTTTTTTATTTTATTTTATTTAATATCGGTAAAGATTACTAGGCCTCACTGAGTAAAACTCGTGTGGAGGCCTAGGAGATATCTTATATACAACAAATTTACATTTATCATTTTCTCCTTAAATAGCTACTCAAATACATGGTAAAAAACAAAAAATAACACAAGAACAGTAATATATGTTTGAACAGATAATATAAAAAAAAGTTTTATGTGCAAAGAAAAAAAATTAAGAAAAAAGGCAGACAATGGTAGTGTAAAAAAAAAAAAAAAAAAAAACAAATTAATCCTGAAACTTCAATATTGTAGCATCGTATTCATGGTGAAGCCAATGGGTAATGTATTTTTTGAAAATAGAAAGAGACATATCAGCCACTTCTTTGGGCATTATATTATGTATATGTGTCCCAACAAAATCATACACTTTACGACATCCAGCTTTTTTTGAAAATTTTAGCGAATAATTATTAGTAGCATATCTAGTGTTAACTTTGTGATTTACAGGGGATAACATGTTATGTTTTTTTAGGAAAATGGTACAGGTTTTTATATATAGCTTATTTATATTAAGTACATTAAATTCTTCATATAATTGTTTTGTAGGATATCTCCATTTTTTGTTACAAGCCACTTTAATAATAGTATTTTGGCATTTTTGAAGTCGTGATAGCACATTATCATAGGCGCTACCCCAACCAATTATGCCATATGCGATTATAGGTTCAAAGAGAGTTAAGTATATAAGTTTTATGTCTTTACAATCTAGTACTTCACGTAGAGATTTCATGATGAAAATCATCTTTCTCAACTTATTGGTAGTATTAATAATTTGTTTTTTCCATTTCATATCATGACACATTTCGATACCTAAGTATTTGTAATTTTTGACAGTAGAAACCGATTTACACTGGCAGTGATTTAATAAAAAAGTATTACATTCATGGATTTTTAGTTCATTTATGGTAGGTAGGGTACATTCAGATAGGGAGTGAAGTAGTATGGCTGATTTATCTAGATTAAGAAATAGGTTGTTTTTCTTTAGCCAGATTTTAATTGACAGTAAATCAGCCTCAATATTAGCGAAGACTTCTTCCCAGGTTAAACCATTACAAATCAATACCGTATCGTCAGCGTAACAAATAATATTGCTATTTAAGTTCAGAAGTTTTATATCATTTAGCTGAATATTGAAGAGTACAGGAGAAAGTGTTGTACCCTGAGGAACACCACATATAATAGTTTGCTCACAAGAGATGGTATCATTTATTTTAACCCTCTGTTTCCTTTTTTCCAAATATGATTCGAATAGTGAGTGAGCCGAACCAGTAATACCTATGTCGTGCATTTTTTTTAGAAGCTTTACATGGTCTACAGTATCGAAGGCTTTCGCCAGGTCAAGATAAATAGTTGCGCATTTTTTTCCTTCTTCCAGTGTACTATAGATCATTTTGGTTACATTAGCTATGGCTTGATCAGTGCTTTTATCTGGTCTAAAACCATATTGGTGTTCAAATAGTAAGTTATTCGATTCTAAGTAGTGTACTAATCTTGCTTTTAAAATTTTTTCAAATATTTTTGCTACATTTGATATTACAGATATTGGCCGAAAATTACTAATGAGTGAAGTTAGACCTTTCTTGTAAATGGGTGTTATGATTGCTACTTTAAAAACATCTGGAATTTTATTTTGGGTTATACATAGATTAAAAAGATGAGTGAGAGGTTTAACAAGAAAATTAATATATTTTTTTAGAAGATTAGAGGATATGTTGTCGATACCGTGCGATGCACCATTTTTTAATTTAGAGGTTGCTTTTAGTATATCTTCATGTGTTATCAGCTCAAATTTATTTAAGGGGGAATTATTTGGCATAATTGTATTGTTAGATCGATAGATGTTAGACAAATTATTTACGTTAGCATCGTTATTTAGTTGTGTTACTAGATCAGTTGCCACATTTATAAAATAGTCATTAAAATTATCGGCTAAGATTGAAGCTGGTTCTCTGTCATTAGGTTCAGTATTAGCTTTTATATTATTTAGTAATTCATTAAGATTAATTGATTTATTGTTTCTGGATATGATATCGTTGATTAATTGCCATTTATGTTTGGTATTCTTCCCAGATTTTTTTATTTCTTTTTTGTAGTATTTAGTTTTTGTTTCTTTTATTAAATACGTTAATTTGTTTCTGAATTTAAGGTAAAAGTCTTTTAGTTTTAGATTTAAAGGATATTTCCTAACTTGAAGGTGAAGGTGGTCTCTATGCCTTATGGAATTAATTAATGCGGTGGTGGCCCATGGTTTAATTTTTTTAGTTTTAGAATTGAAAGATATTTCGGAAGAAGCCTGTTTTTTAAGACTAGTTATTTTTTCAGTAAAATAATGTGCTGCACTGTTAGTATCGATAATGTCATACATTTCAGACCACTCGAAATTTTGAATTAGGTCAGTTAACTTGGCTTCATCTGTTATAAGTATTTTTAAGGGATTCGGTTTATTATGTCGGTTGTCTAGTATGTTCCCTATACTAATTATGTTTGGGTAATGATCTGTTATATTGGATTTAATAACTATCGGCTTTATGTGATCTAAAGACTTTGTTTTAACAAAAATATGATCAATACAAGTATTAGACGCAGGTCTTGTTATGTTTTTAATTACAGGTATAAATCCGAACTGGGCCATTAACATGAGATAATCTTCTTTTGTTTTTGAAGGTTTTAGTATGTCAATGTTAAAACCACCTAATATAATTTTATATTTAGCTATTTTTAGGTTGGAACTACTCAGTATTATATCGTTTAATTCTTCAAGGGCTATGTCAATAATACCATTAGGAGATCTATAAGTAGGATAGATTACAAAGGCAGTTTTTGATAATTTGAAAGAGATTTCTAAGGTTGTTAGTGCTGATGTGTTAAATTCTATTATCGAGACATCGGTTAAGGTATCTTTTAGGTATACTACAATACCGTCATTTTGATTTTTATTATTTAAAGTTGTATGAGTTGAATAACCTGAAATTGAGAAGTTAGTGATTGATATATTACCAAGCCCTAACCAAGCCTCTGTTAAAATAATTACATCAAATTTGGTGTTCATGTTATCTAAATTGATACATAGTTCATCAAAATGTTTTTTAATGCTACAGATATTCATAGTGAAAATATTTATTGAGTTTTGTAGATATACGGTGTTGTTTAGTTTATCAAAAGAACAATTAATAGTATTTATTGCCACATTATTATCAGATAATAATGTACTAATAGTGTTTTTATTCATAACAGATATTGTTGAGGTGTATAATGTATATAGGTAAAAGTGTTAATAAATGAGCTAGGTACATAGTTCATTAGTAATAATAGAGAGCTGAAGTCTGTATAATGTTTAGTAGATATAAAAGATATAGTAATTTTCTTAAAATCGTATGGCTTCGCTATGAATACGCTGCCCTCAGATATGGCTATAAAGGCAATTATAAAGTAATAAAGATAATGAATGTGTGTGAGAGTTTTAACATAGAAATAATAATTGTATAAGGTAATATGTATAAAGTTGAGATGTAATGTTAAATTTATATAAAGACGAGATAATATATGTGAATGATAATTAGTATAATCGAAATATAGGCATAAGAGTAATAAGTATATACATTTTATATTTACGAATTTAGGTTTGTTGAGTTTAAATGATCATACTGTGATTTTAAATTCGAAATTACTTCTTCATTGTCAACACGTATGATTTTATCAGTTTCGTTTTTTCGTAGGAAAACAAGACCATTTTTCGTCCAAACGAATTGAAAGTGGAGTGATTTTTTGAGGTCTCTTGCTTCTTTGAATAGCTTGTTACCTTTTGTTGTTAAATTTTCTCTAATGTAAATAGGCATATCAGGCTGTATACCAATGTCCTTAGTAGAAAAATTTCTTTTTATTTGGCGAGCTTTAAGTGTATTTATTTTATCTTGATGATTTATGAATTTAACTATAATTCTTCTGGGACGTGCGTTGTTACGGTTGAAACCGATTCTGTGACAATCATTTATCATTGACACGTTAATATTTGGATTTAATTCTTTACATATTTGGTGGACTAATTTAGTGCAATCTTCTGTTTTATTTTCAGGTATTCCATCAATGATAATATCATTTGATATTTGGCGGCGTTCCATAAGTTCAATTTTGTTTTCTAGTTGGATTATATGTGTTTTCAAAATATTGTTTTCTGTAATAATCTTATCGATTACATTAAATTTGGCGTTTAGGTTATTGAAATTAAGGCAGGTATCTTCTTTAAATTTTTGAAATGTGTCTTTAAGTTGAAGTATAATTTCTTTTATTTCAATTAAATCAGTGTTACCTGAGTTGACAGTGGAGTCAAGTCGGAGCGAGGCTCTTTTGGCGTTAGAGCAACTGCCACATCTCCAAATATTGTCCGACTCCTTTAGATAGTCTACATCTTCCTTAGAAAGTTTTTGACATTTGGCGTGCCAAGTCAAATCATGGTCAGTACAAGTTACAGACAGGGCCGACACAATATTAACAGAGCAGGAGTTGCATAAAGGCATAATAAAATATTGTTTGTGAGAGTTTAAAATAACAACAATAGCACACACGAACAGAAAAAATGCGATAAGGGAGAGACGTATACGTAGACGTTACACAACCGAACAGGACGGAGTGCAACTGATAACATAGGTACAGAGATCCTATAGAACAAGAAGGTGAAGTATTGCCATTGAATCCAAGTGTGGATGTTTTAAGCACAAAAAGTGTTGTACATATGACAGCAACAGATCAGTTGGACAGTTATTGACCGGACGATCGCAATAACTCGCCACCAGTTCAGTCAACACCAGCCAGATCTTTTGTTCTAGAAGCGTACAAATTACATCACTGAAAAATAAAAAAATAAATAAATAAGAATTTTGCAAATTACCTATGAACCATTACACTCACTTTTTTGGATTTATATTCAAATTGTACATTAAATGTTCGTTGAGGCTGTGGTTTAATGCGACAA